AAGGAGACCCCCCTCCCTTTATTACGAAATCTGGAGTACGGATGTAAGTATTGCCCGCATAAAAAAAACTGCCCTGCAGCGGGACCCTCCCTCTTCGGCGCGCCCGTGCCTCGAGCGGGGCGCCCCGGCCGCCCCGCTGCTGCCCGCGGGGCGCGCCGCCGCCTGCGCCGCGGGGCTGGGGCTGCTGTCGGCGCTGGGGCCCGCCGGCGGCCACGCCCTGCCGGAGGTCTGCGGGGTTGGCTCCCAGACCCCCTCGAGTAATGAAAAAATCACGACGGGAGGTTTTTCCTAATTTTCGGCCACCGGGGGCCCTCACCGGGCCTCGGGAGCGTCAAAAAACGACTCAGGATGCAACGCCGGTCATGGGGAAAGGGTCGGGACCTTTGGGGGTCGACGTAATGAAAAAATCAGTACGTCGGGGGTCTGGGCTAGCGGGGGGGAACTCGGGGGCCCCCAGACGGGGTGGTTCAGAGGAGGGCAGGGTGACACAATCGGGGGCGGAAAAGAGGGGGGTGATGACTAGGGGGGGGGCGATATCATGGCGGGGGCCATGATATTTCCCCAGATTTCATGGCGCCTCTTCTCATTTCATTACGTCCCTGGCCCGGGGTTGGAGAGCGGGGGGAACTCGTAAGGATTCCTAGGAATGCCTATGGATTCCGAGGAATGCCTAAGGACTCCTAGGAATGCCTAAGGATTGCTAGGAATGCCTAAGGACTCCGAAGGGTTCCTAGGCATTCCTAAAGATCCCCAGATTCCCAGGAATTCCTAACGATTCCCAGGAATTTCTAAGCATTCCTAGGAATTCCTAAGGGGTTCAGAGGAGGGCAGGGTGAGACAAGGGTGACGTCTTTGCCTTTTTCGCCTCCGAGGGGCCTCCTCGTCGCCACGGCTGGACGCAGCGTGAAAAATCTGTGCGTTTGGACCCCGGGAGGGGTCCGGGGACAGATTTTGAGCCGATCTGGCCACCGTTGTCTCCTGGCCGTTGTCTCACGTTGCCCTCCTCCGAGTGGTGACCACACCGTGTGGTGAGTCGGTAGGGATTCGGGGTCACCGCAGAGTTCTGGGACTCGAGGCCCTCTCCGAGAACGTCTCGGGCGACAGGGGCCTGCGGGGTCCCAAGACCGTGCGGTGACGGACCCTGCGGTGAGGTCTTGGGGGATTTCCAGGTCACCGCACGGTCCGTCACCGCACCGTTTCGGTACCCCAAATAAACAAAAAACAATGAGAAAAACGCGGAAGAGGAAGAGGAGGGTGAGGAGGAGGAGGAGGAGGAGGAGGAGGAGGAAGGAGATGACGCCGACGACGACCACGACGACGACGACGACGCCGACGACGACGACGACGACGACGACGACGCCGACAGCGGAAACGACGACGACGACGAAGACGACGACGATAACGACGAAGAGAAGGACGACGGCAACGACGACAACGACGACACCAACAAAGACGACGATGATAACGAACACGATGACGACGACGACGACCGCGATGAGGCCGAACAGGGATCGGGGTTCACGTAACGGGGGTCAGCGCTAACGGGCAGGTTTGGGAGCCACGTCGGGCTGATCCTTCTTCTTTCCGCCCTCCGCTGACCCAGGTGTGGGAGCTACTAAGCTGCCGGCCGGGCTTCGCGACAGGACCTTGGCCGACCCGGGCGTGTGTGTTGCCCCGCGTTGGTGCGTCCCCGCAGGTATTTTTTTCCAGTGGTGATGTCAGGGGGGATTCGGTAGCAATTCGCAAGAGCCGCGCACGTCGTCGCAATTCCGTTTGAGGAGTGCAATCGCGCGCGTTAGCGTCGGGTAGTCGATGAGCAGGCGCCTTCGAGTTTCCGTTCATTGGATTATGTATGTTTTGATTTGTTGCATGTGCTCACGATATCGCAGGGAGGGCACCGCCGAACAATATTATTTCCGACCTTCTGTTGTTGGGTTCTCGTTTTGAATCGAGCACTTTGGTCGCGTCCCTCCTTTCCCGCCCCCTTGTTTTGTTTGTCCTTCTCTCTGTCTCTCTCTCTCTCTCTCTCTTTTTTCCTCTCTCTCTCTCTCACCTCATGTCTCGTACCTCCGCCTCACTTGCTTCAGATCTCGCCATCCAGTTTCGAGGGCTGTTGCGGGGTCCGCCTGAATGCGGTGCTACGCAGATCATAGCGGGACCTTGCCATCCGGGGGGGGGGGAATTGCGAACATGTCGCCAGTTTCGACGGTTACAAGGGGGGCCAGCCTAGTGCGGCGTTGCGCAGATCAAAGCGGGACTTCGCAATCCCTCGGAGGTTGCGAACTGCGAATTTGCCGTTTGTTTCGAAGGCTGGAGAGGGGGGTACACCACAGTGCGGCGCTACGCAGATCAGAGCGGGACCTCGCCAACCTTGGGGGGGTACGAATGTCGAAACGGTCGTCTCTGTCGAGAGCCGCTGAGGATGCAGCTTAGCGCGGTGTTCGGAGTGCCCAGCGTACCTGGGGCACTCGCCTCTCGGCGTCTGGGTCTTCATGGACAAGTACAAGGCAGGCCCCCCGCCGTCGGCGGCAACATTGACGCCTCCGAATCGGCGCGGGTGGTGCTCATCCCGCCGCAAACCTCGAGCCCGCTCCTGTTTCGCAAGCACAAGGTCACGCGCGCTGGTTTCCCCATCCCCCACCCAGGTCCTGACTTCCACGGGCTGCGTGGGCCGGGCCATGCGCCGCGGAGTCATCGCCGACGCTGGGTGCAAGGGCGATGACGATCAGGGCGGCCGGTGGCTGCACCCCTACGCGATGCTTTCCTGGGCCACGGTTTGCAGTTCCTTTTCTCGCGGGCCGCCCGCGGACCTCGCGGCGCGCCTGCGTGCTTTTGCCGCGCGCGCTGGAGCGCGTCGGGGAAAAAAAAAAAAAAAAAAAAAAAAAAAGGCTCAGCTGCTGTCTGAGAACCTCGGCCCCGCGCAGTTTTTCCACTGATTGCAACCGAGTGCTGGCGCGCTTCGAAACGTTGTCCCCCTCCTTCCTTGTCCTTTCTCTCGTCGTCACTTCCTTCCTTCCTGTTGCCGCGCCCTCTTGTTGCTGTCTCGCTGGTTGTTTCAGATGCCCGGCCGCCGTTGCCTTTTATCCCTCGCCCCTCTGTCCTCTCGGCCCGAGGTCCGAACGAATCGCCTTGATCAAGCCCTTGTCCGTTGATCCGCGCCCTGCGCCTCGCGCGCCTCGCGAATTTCCCCAGCGGCGTTCGCAGGATATACACCTTTTCGCCACGCTACCACCCCTAATACTTTATCCAGCTATTTCGGCCACGCGGCGCGCGGAGGTCAGTTGCCAAGTGGGCGCCGATCGGATTCCAGGGGGGCCCCTCTGAGGGGCCCAGCGGGGCGCGGCAGGGCCCCTGGCGGCGCAATTCGCAATACATTGCCGTATTTGTAAGACGACGTTAAACTTAAGGTGTCGTTGCGTCGCCACGGCGTGCCACCTTTGTCAATCCGAGGCCCCCCCGTGTTTGCTGGCGCTCTCGGGGGTAGTGTTGGGCCACAGGGCTCGAGATGTCACTTCGACTCCCCCGTTTGGGGATCATCTTGTTGCCCTCTGGCGCCATCGGGGCCTCTTGGGCCGTCATGGGGCCTTGTAGGGCCAGCGTGCGGCCTTCGTGGGAGCCCCGTAATCCGCCCATTTTCAAACGATCGTGGGTGCCCCGTGGATGGTATTGGGGGCTTCGCGGCTTGCTTCGGAAGCCGTTTCCGTCCAGAAAATTAGCGCGGCAACGCGCGGGAGCACGCGGGACGCCACGAGAGTGCCCAAAACTCTGGGTTGTGTGCCCCGTACAGAGTGTTACAATATCCGATACAAACTTCAAACGGACGTGAGTACACGCCATTTCGCCTTCGGGGCGCAATGGCCGATCATTGCCCCTTTCCTTATTTCACGGTATCCCGCGTCCACGTGCCTCGTGCCATGGTGCGCTGACCCCGTTTTTCCTGGTCACCCCCTTCGGCGCACCCTACACAGCAACCCGGACATCCGAGCGTTTTCTTTTCACGTGCCAAACAATTGTAATCGCCCAACTGTCGGACGGCCCAGGTCAGTCCCAACAGCGCCTCAGAGGGCCCTGGGACGGGCCAGGAGTGCCCCAAGAGCGCCCAAACTATCACCACGACGGCCCCGGGGAGGCCCACGAGGGCCCCAAGACGGCCCGGGAGCGCTCAAAGAGGGCCGAGTGGACTTTCAAAGCGCTCCACGAGGTTTTGTCAAAAGATATCCCAGAAGCAAAATCGTCCATTTCCTCAGGGAAATCTGCGTTCGCATACAAGGTTCTTTGGTCTTCGCACGGCCCAAAACGGCCCCAATGCCAAATTTTCGGCCATGCTCAGCACCTGTGACGCCCTTGTCAGCCCCAAGAGCGCTTCAGATGGCGCCACGACGGCCCAAAACAGCCCGAACACGTGACAACTGCATCAATGGATGGCTGCCCCTTTTCGAGGTGGGGCTCCATTTCTGAGATTTCTTCGAAGTGCATGATGAACAGCGTGACAACGCCAGGGTCATCGCGTAACCTGCCGTACGCTGGTTGTTCTGTTTCTGCCTTCTTCCATTGCTTCGCCCCGCTCGTTTCTCATGGCGCCAACATTTCAGAGCGGGGAGTTAATTTCGTGCGTATATTCTCTGCCAGGAATGAGGGCTCCACAAGCCATCTACGGGACACTCGTTTCGTTTTTCGCTCGCCGTTTCGAGGCTCAGCCTTGACAGACATCCACACGCAAATCCTCTGCAGCACGTCTGCAAGGTTGGTGACGTGAGCCCTGGTCGTCGTCGTCGTCGTCGTTCTCGTCGTCGTCGTCGTCGTCGTCCTCGTCGTCGTCGTCGTCCTCGTTGTCGTCGTCGTCGTCGTCGTCGTCGTCGTCCTCGTTGCCCTCGTCGTCCTCGGCGTCCTCGCCGTCCTCGTCGTCCTCGCCGTCCTCGCCGTCCTCGTCGTCCTCGCCGTCCGTGTCGTCCTTGTCGTCCTTGTCGTCCTCGCCCTCGTCCTCGTCCGACCCGCGGGAGGTGCTGGATCGCGCCGGCCACCCCGACGCGCGCGTGCGCCAGGCGGCCGCGGAGGCGGCGGGCAGCCTGTCGCGGTACGGCGGGGGATCTCAGGCCTCCCGAGACGTGGCCAGAGCATCGGTTGGCTTCTTCGAAGGGCTCAGGCGACCTGTCCTCCTCCTCCTCCTCCTCCTCCTCCTCCTCCTCCTCCTTCTCCTCTCCTCCTCCTCCTCCTCCTCCTCCTCCTCCTCCTCCTCCTCCTCCTCCTCCCCCTCCTCCTCCTCATCCTCCTCCTCTCTCTCCTCCTCCCACTCCCCCCTCCACCCTCCCCTCCCCTACCCATCCCCCTCCCCCCCCCCCCCCCACCCCCCCCCCCCCCCCCCCACCTCCTCCTCCTTTTCCTCCTCCTCCTCCTTCTCTCCTCCTCCTCCTTTTCTCCTCCTCCTCCTCCTCCTCCTCCTCCTCCTCCTCCTCCTCCTCCTCCTCTCCTCCCTTTCCTTCTCCCTCTCCTCCTCCCTCTCCTCCTCCACTCGTAGATCCGCAACCCCAGCTGCTCTGGCGCCATCTCGGGATGCCGAGAAGACGCCGCGTGCCCGCCGGCCCTGCTGGCACTGCTCCTGGACCCCGACCCCATGGTCCGCGAGGCCTCGGGGGAGGAACCAGTATCGTTAAGTCGGGCGCGAAAAAGGTGGATTTTCGACGAAAAGTAAAAACATACCCCAAAGATACCCCCAAAAAAGGTCAAACAATACCCAACAAATAGTCCCCAGACTATTTTTGGATAATGTGTTGATTATTTTTTGGGTGTTTTTGAATTTTCTTTGAAAATCCCCCTGTAGGGGGACAGGCCTGACTTAAAACAAGTATCGTGAAATACATTCCCATCCCCACCGGGCTATGGCATCTCAGCCCCACCATCCCACCACCCCAGTTGGGGATATAACTGTGCCCCTCGAAGCCCGACGGAAGCAGCCCTACATCCCCACCTAGGGGGGTGAATCGGCCAGTGGGGCCTATAGGCCACGCCGCTGGTGATAGGGATCGCTGAAACAACGCGAGGGCGTTTACGACACAGCCCCGGGCGTTTACGGAACACCCTTGCCTTGTCCGGTTCCTTCCCCAGTGTGCGTTCCTTATATAAGGTTAGCGCTCTTGGGAGCGCTAAGCCCCCTGAGGTCCGACGCCGCGAGAAAGATGCCTCAATGTGGGCAAGCACGACCGCAGCCCTGGACCCACTCTTTCACGTGTTCGACCATGGACTCTTTGGTAACGCAGACATCCTGCCTTCACACCGGTGACCGCCGAGGACCGTGCCGGGCCGTCGTCCAGACCGCCGACAGACCGCCGAAGGACCGCCGGAAGACCGCCGGAAGACCGCCGAACGACCGCCGGAAGAGTCTCTTCCGCGGGCACTTTGGGCGTGCAGTGCAGAGGAGGAGGAGGGGGAGGAGGGGGAGGAGGAGGAGGAGGAGGAGGAGGAGGAGGAGGAGGAGGAGGAGGTGGAGCAGGAGGTGGAGGAGGAGGAGGAGGAGGAGGAGGAGGAGGACGGGGAGGAGGAGGAGGAAGCCACGCCCAAGCACTCCCCGAGCCAGACCGCTCTGAGAGGGGGGCCCGTGCGGCCCGGCGCCGGGCGAGAGGGGGCGTGCTCGGCGTCCGGACCTCGGGGGCCGCGCGTGGCGCTCTCTGCCCTCTTGATTCGCAGGTCCTCCTCCATTCTTCCTCCTCCTCCATTCCTCCATTCCTCCTCCTCCTCCTGCTCCTGCTCCTCCTCCTCCTCCTCCTGCTCCTCCCCCCCCCCCCCTCGCCTCCTGGATAGACCTCCTACCCTGACACGTCGATTGAGGAATTGACCGTTTTCGGTTCGCGAGAGGGCGTCGCGGCCGTCATTTTTGCGGGTCCGGGTCCGTCGGTTTCGGTCCCAGGCCGTTTTCACGAAGAGGAGGTCTGCTAAAGGGAGGTTTGTCGACCGCCGATTGATGCCGCGTCCTGCGATGTCTCGGGGTGGCCCAAAATAAAAGGGGGTCCAGCTGAAAGGGGGTGGTGCAACAGATTTGGGGCAATTGTAAGTTTTGCGAATGTGTTGCGCCAGAGAATTGTATTGCACCGTATCGCAAGCAATGTACTGCACGCGAACATCCAGCAATACATCTGCGCCCCGGAATGTATTTCACGCCCCACATGCATTGCAACCCCACAAATCGATTGCACCAAATCTATTGCACCACCCCCTTGTCGCTGGGCCCCCTTTTGGGTCACACAAAATGTCGTGGTCTGCTTGACTGTGACCTCGATTGGGTTATCGAGTCGGTCTAGGCTTAAGTCGGGCGTGTCCGTCTACAGGAGGAGTGTTCAAAAATGGTCAAAAGATAGTCTTGGGACGATGTTGTGACTATTTTTGAGCATCTTTGGAGTAGGCTTTGACTATCTGTTATTCTTCGCCCAAAAGCCGCCTGCAGGGAGACATGCCCGACTTCAGTCCACGCCTCCCAGATGGGGTCCGAGCAGGTGGGGTCGGAGGATCGCGCCGCATCGCCGATGCATCGGCGATGCCTCGGCGATGCCTCGGCGATGCGGCTCGATGTGGGGCCCAGTTCTCTCCACTCCGACGGTGCCGATGCATCACTCACGTCGACGATGCATCGCCAGTGCGTCGCCGATGCATCGCCGATGCATCACCGATGCGGCGCGATCCTCCTACCTCATCTACTCCGACCCCATCTAGGAGGCCTATAGTTAGGGGGCCTGGCAGCACGACAGAGTGCCCGCTGCGACAGCGGGTGGGCCTCGTGTGAGGACGAAGCCTCAGCCGGCTCAGCTTAGGCAGTCTCCTTTCTTTCACCATTCGGGTATAGCCAGGACCCCAGAAAAGGGGACCCGGTTAGTAATAGGGCCCTGGAGCCCCCAACTTGGCCAGAATCACTCAACCAGGTCTGCCGTAGCTGGTGCCCTCTCGGGTGACGGCAGCTCCAGTCAGCGGAACGGGCGGGGGGGGGGTCCCAGTACACATCACTAAACCAGGTCCCACTGAACTTACGTCGGGCGTGTCCCCCTACAGGGGGATTTTCGACGAAAAATAAAATACCCCAAGAATATAAAAAGTAGTCTAAAAATCGTATGGGAACTATTTTTGGTGTATATTTGTTGACCTTTTTGGGGCATTTTGGGTGTATTTGTTGTTTTTCGTCGAAAGTCCCCCTGTAGGGGGACACGCCCGGCTTGACACTAAACCCAGTTCTGCCAACGCCTGAGCCGTCCTTGAGACCGCTGGCCATGCAACTGCATTCCCCGAGCCCTCACGGACCAGCCCGGTCCCGTGCGGTCAGGACCTTTTTTTTTCCCTTGGGGCAGTGCTTCGCCCCGGATCCCTTCTGTACTGCCCTGGAGCTCGACACATTGGTACCATTGGCGCCCAGAGGCCGAAATGCAGAAAAGCCATTAGAATTGAACAAATGAATTACGCCAGAGAAAACCCCAATCAGAGGATGGTTTGATCGATAAGGACCGGGAGCCCCGGAACCTGGAACCCACCGAAATCGGCCCGGAACCAATAACAAGGAATCCGGGAACCCGGAACCGAGAACCCTGGAAACCAGCCAGCCACCAACATCGGCGGGACACTTTCGTCAAATCTTTCAATTTCCGGTAGGACCCAGTCAGTGCAAGCACTGGTTGGGGGATCACGTCGTTGGACTGGGGAGCCTGGCGGTTCTGCCCTCTCAAGGCCGCGGCCGACGAGCGCGGTCGGATCTCGAAGATTCTTCGCCCTCGCAGGGCCGCGGCACGGGAGTCCTCCGAGCAGGGCAAAGGGCGAAATCGGACATGCCGTTTCGATTGATTTTCGAGGTCTGAATCTGCAAAGGGTGAAACACGAGACGGATAAGTTTTCGACGCGCAGGAGCCTATTGGAATTTCGCCCTGAGCCCTCTGCCCTAAGAAAATGCCCAGGTCCTACGTAGACCCCCTCCTTCGGCGGCACCCCTCGGGCCGCCGCACCGGTCTTCTCTGGGGGTCCCGGGGCCCGAGGCCCCGCAGCCAGGCCACGCAGGTGCGCCCCACGGCCCCCGAGCTGCAGCGCCCGCTACCTGAGGGGCTGTGAGGGCGGCTCGCCTGCCCGCAGCCCCCGTCATGGGGAAACCAACGGGTGCCGATACCGCCACAGTCGACCCGGAGTAGTCGGTCGAGCCTGCCAGCTCAAGGGTACCCTTGTGTCCTGTGCTTCGCGACGCGTGCCCTCTTACACTCCTATGTCGATGTGGCCCTCGGAAGGGTCTTGTGTCCTCTCGCGTGTCTTGTCCAATCAAGGCCGACGGTACTCCTTGGACCTCTTCTGGCCTGGGGTGCGTTCTGCCCAGAATCTCGGCCTACCAGATGGGGTCGGAGCAGGTTGGGTCGGTGGGTCGCGCCGCATCACCGATGCATCGGCGATGCGGCTCGATGTGGAGCCCGATTTTCGCCAACCCGACGGCGGCGATGCATTGGCGATGTGGCGCGATCCTCCGACCCCATCTGCTCGGACCCCATCTAGGAGGCCTCTATCAGCATGGGGAAACCAGAAGGTGCCGATACCGCTACTCCCCGGACCTCCTTCTGGCCTGGGGTGCGTTCTGCCTAGAAATCTCGAGGCGAATCCAGCGGTGGCGACGAGGGCCTCCCAGGAGGCCCGAAGAGGGGAAAACAGGCGAAGGGTAGCGGCATGTTCCTCCTCCGACACGAGGCCGCGGCCGAGGAGCGTGGTGGTGCCCTCCCCCGGCTGCTGCTGCTCCTGTGGGACGCGCAGCCGGCCGTGCGCGAGGCGGCCGCGCTGGCGCTGGGCCGCCTCGGGCCTCCCGGGCTGGCGGCGGCCGGGGCCCTGCTGGAGGGCGAGGACCTCGCCACGGAGCAAGCCCCCTGTCGGGGCGTTCGAGGGTCCATCGGGGTGGGCGAGGGTCGATCGGGGTGTTCGAGGGTCGACCCAGATTTCATGGCAGCTCTTCTCATTTCAATGCGTCCCCTGGGCCCCCCCCCTGGGCCTTACACATGCCGCCGGCCATGATTTACGCACCCCCCCTCTTGGACGCCCCCCTCTTGGGCGCCGCCGAGTGTTCGAGGGTCGCATTGACCCAGGTTTGGGCGCAGGGTCCTGCAGGACCCTGCAGGATTTTGCAGGATCCTGCGAAGCCCGACTGAGCTGGGTTTGGGTTGACCCATGTCAATGCGTGTCCTTGAGTCGAGTTTCGGGCATCGCTCGGCGACTGCAAATGGTATGGTTATGCTGGGGTGTGGTTTGTGATCGGTGCCGTTGGGGCCTGGGGAGCACGACACCGTCCTCGTCGGGTATCTTCCGGGCGCGGTGGCGAGCTCTGTCGAGGTCCTCGCCCGCCGCCTGGGTGCCCCCCAGGGTGCCAGTTGCAAACCACACCCTTTGCAAACCACACCCTTCGAAGCCGCCAAATCGTTTCCTGAACGGTTCTGGTCCTCCTGGGGCGCCCTCGTGGCACGGCTGGATCCGCCTCGATTTTCTTGTCATATCAAAACGCACCTTTGACCACTTATCAAATGCAACACGTCAAATTCGAGGTTCGGGGTTGGAGGCTTTCCACTGTTTGGTGGTTGGTCTCTGAGGTGTCGCATCCTCGCCGAGAGCATTCTGTGGATGCCCAGCAAA